GGCGCGTGGCGATTGCCTCATTGTTCCGGATCTATTCGTCAATGGCGGCGGTGTTATTGTCTCGTACTTCGAATGGTTGAAGGATCTGAATCATGTGAGCTTCGGACGTCTCACATTCAAGTACGAAAAGGACTCCAATTATCACTTATTGGGTAAGCAATTTTTCCTTTTGTGAAGGCGTTTTAGCTACAGGATTTCTATGGGCTAGACCAATGATCGGCGTCATCGGTCTGTTAAAAATAAGGTTAACCCAGATAGTTACCGCACAACGTTTGCAAGCTGAATATAGTTAAATCTTTAAAATTCCTTTTGTATTAGAAGCCATTTAGTTCACAAATGTAAATCAAAACTGCACACGCTTTAATACTTCGGAAACCGAATGATTGTTTTGGATCTAACAAACCGACTGGTTCCCTTGTTCTCCTTGAAATTTGTGTGTAGTAATTCGTGCCTTTTTGCACCTGTTTTTAGCACTTTTTTTCATAACACCGTGTACCAGAGCTATCAGACGTTGGCTTCTCAGTTCATTTCAGGCATTTCGAACTACGCTTAGACTAAATGAGTGAGTTTAGCAAAGCAACTATTTGCATTTGCTTGTAGACAGCGTGCAGGAGTCGCTGAAACGCTCACTACACAAGGAAATCAAGATTGAGCCGACGGTTGAATTCAAGAATCGTATATCGGGAGCCTCCGAGAAGGACATCGTGCATTCTGGGCTGGAGTACTCCATGCAGCGTTCCGGTATCTCATGCTTTATCATGATTCTCACCTTTTTGATAGTTCTTGCGAAACTAATTGTAAATCATCGTCGTTGCATCCTTTGCTAATCGTAGCATTTTTACTGCCCACAAGATATGGTACTCTAACATAATGTGCTCAGAATACTCGTACAGCTAATATCCTCATCAAAACGCGACGTTGCATTTTAGTCATCCAGAAAAAGCAAAAGTAGACCTAAGCCCTTCTGGCACATACGTCAGTACTGTAAAGTCAAAATCCATACATTATTTAATCTCTGTGGAAAGCGAAGGCTTTTGCAAGTATCGACTAGTAGCAACATGTGCCAGTAGCAACCACTCGCTAGCAATGCTGTCAGTGCTTTCTC